ATCCTGAAAATGCTATATGATCCCACTCTGCCCTTGGAAAGACTCAAAAGGTACTCTGAGAATGGCTATAGAAGACAACCAGGTTCTGTCTTTCTCCCAAAGCCTGGATTTAATGCCAATAAACTCCCCTACGTCAGCAGCTAACCCTGGAAATAGATTTACATGCAAGGCATCCTCTATTACCTTACATGTCACACTTCCTTCTACATATACTACTTATTACCTTGTATGCAACCTTTTGGAAGCTTTCACTCTTGCAACCTTTCTTTCATTTTTTTCTTCTAGTCCAGTTAAAGGAACAAATGGGAATAACAGCAGAGAGGAAAGGTGGGCAGACTAAATGGAACATGGTTCCCCTACAAGTCAAGTTTTGCCTCAGACTGCCTCCCTTCCACCATCCCATCCTTCAGTTTTTTTAGCTCTTATGTGTGATCTATGTACACTTGGAATTTCCTAAATTCTCCTGTTTCGCTTATAACTGGGCAATTTTTGCTTACACGTTTTGCCTTATATTAAGCATTTCTAGGAAGAACTTAGTAAGATTTGAACTGTTATCCCTATCAAATAAATCCCTTCCCAAGCTCCAGGTTAATGTAGTTAACATTAGGTAATTATCTCCATTCTTGCTATTAAAATGCATTCATTTGATAACCTTCAAATTATTGAAAAAAAATAAAGGCACGTTGTTGTGAAAAATGATTTTGGCACATTCACCTATGCTTTCATCCCAGCACGAGATATTTGTTTCATTTGGCTGAACTAAGCTACAATTACCATTTGGTAAAAGTCACAGAACAAGAGATCCTTTGTCACTGGGCAGTAAAGCTGTTCTAGCTATCAGCATTCTAAGCTTTTTTCTAAAAATTGCCAGATTTGAATGCTACTTTCACGTTGTGTTTCTTTTCATAAGTTAAGCATTTTGTTTTGTTTACGTAGACAAGAGTAACTAAAAGAACTGGCTGAAATGATAAACATAAATTTGCTAACTTTTCACAGACATTGGGACAATTCAGAACTAGCCTTTCTGAAGAACTGAATTTACCCACCCACCCAACCTGCTACAAAGAGGAAGACGGAGAGGCAAAGCTTTCTATAGAAACAAATGCACGCTCATGTCTGAGAATGGCTTTAGTTGTTGTATAGAAGCAATGATAGTAAGTTCAGGATGCCAACATGGTAAAACTTACTTATGCACTGTACCATATATGCAGCATCTTGATAGAAGTGGACTGTCCACTACTGCTAGTATATTTGCATAACACCAACCCAATCTGTGCTAGCAATAGCAATGCACAATAGCTTCATACCTGGAGTAGTTAAGGACTTAGTAGAAAAAGATACTAGCCAGGTGCTATGCTGTGGACAAAACCTCTTGTCTGTTTGCAGGATGCCCTAGTGACTCTACATCCTATACAAATTATATTTTGAATATATTAAAAATGCAAAATAGAGGAAACATAATGATTTATTATTAACTCTCACAATTTTTCCATAGTAGAAGTCCTCAAGTTTAACAAATGAAAATAAAATTTTATGGCTTAGAAAATATAGATATGGTTCCAACTCATTTAAAATTGATGGCATACCATTAAAATGGTAGTATTCTATTACAAAAGCTGCATTTAAGCATCACAACAAAAGATGTGTCTTGTTATGGATATGTGTATGCTGCAGGCTTTTACAAAGTCTCCTCTGTCTTTCTTCCTCATTCACAAGAAAGTAGATATTAAATGTCCAATTAACCATTGAGAACGGTTTCCCATTCTTTTTGAATGGATAAATAAGGATACCAAAATGAGATCTAGTTTTTATAATTAAATATGGCCTAAACAAACCAGTTTAATTTTAAATTTCCTTTGGAATGGATTTGATTTAAATTAAAAAAGCAAGACATCTTATAAAAATAGGGGGACACAGAATAATTTCAGTTAACAATTTTGGGCAAACGTTTCTGTACAGCCTTGTTCTCTCATAATAATAAACCTTAGATATTATAATAGCTTAAAAAGCAGCGAACCTTGGGTTTTCACATTCCTCTTCTGTGGCATAACAACAGGAGTAAGAGTTCCATGTCGCTTCCATGTTTGACTAAACACTGTTAAACATTATATCTGAAGCTGGCCAAATTGCAGTTTGTCTTAATTTGGAGTAGTAAAAAGAAGCTAACTTTAGTTTTTGAAGATAGCTCAAGCCATGAACTAAATCACAGTTTATAGTTTAGGCACATTCCTCTCCATAGCTGCACTGGAAGAAGAAAAGGGAGGGGCAGAATAGATGCCAGGAACTTCTTCCATAAACTATTGTTTATTGTTATGTTCAAACTGAGCTATTAACTTGTCAAATATGAAACAACATACTTGTTTCAGCATGAACATTTTAATTGACTCCAGGCTGAAACTTGGTGCATAAGCTGAATGCAAAGGAAAACATTTACCCCCCCCCAACAAATATTAAGTAATGGAACATAATATTCATTACCCCAATAATAAAAACTATAACTTTCAATTTGCAAATGATTAATTTTGTCATTCAAGAACATATGCCCACGTGATCAAAAAGTTAATCTGGAATCCACATGTCATAACCTTATAATTTGTACCAGGTCCCATGCTTAGATTGCTTCATATCTGTCACGGTTAAAGTCACACTCTCCATGGCACTTAGACATGGCAGTGATGTACCATATTTACCAGAAAGGATGATGATCCTACATTTAAGAAAATTCCCTTCTTCTCCCCAAAAAAGGTTAGATGCGGGGGGGGGGAACAGCCTCCATTATCATGTTCCCAGGAAATCTTATTTCATAGGTAAATTATTTGGGAAATAAAATCTTTATTTCAGATTATAGTATATAAATCAAATATCAGACTAAGCTGAATGCCAATTAATCTCTGGATTTCAGCTACTTTCTGATCAAACCAGAAGCTAAGGTACATTTCTCATGTTCAGTCACATTCTAAAACAAGCTTCCCCAATCTAAGCATCCCAGATGTGTTGGGCTTCTAACTTCTGATTGGAAATTCTGAGTGGTAATCCCAACACATCTGGAGAACATCAGGTTAGAGAAGGTTTACTACATAGCAAAGCAATCAGCAAATAGGCCAACAACTCAGAGATCTACTTGGACAGCTCTAGATATGCAGGAACTTCTTAGTTCCTTCCATGTAAATGTCCTCCTGCCAAATCTAAACATACATTTCTTTACCTGAAGAGGGGCATTTAACCTTCCAGTGCAGCTGCCAGTTCACAGAATACAAACTGTAATTAAGAAACATATCAGCCTAAAACAATCTCATGTAATTTCACAACAGGGTAAGACCTTAAATATAGTTCCCTTATTCCAAAGATCACAAACAGTCCAAGACATTCTCTCAACAGATAAGATACAATATTTTAGATAAGAATTTAGAATTATCACAGTGCAGGCAAAGACTGCATATGTAACTTGGTTGTATAGGTGTCCTTGTGCTGATCACCACAAGAGAAGCATCACATAATACATCTAGTGTTATGTGATGACTGGAGGCTAGTGAAATAATTTTATAAGGATGAGAAGGAAATGAAAGAACTTCTCTCTACTTAGGCCACGTTATCTGGTTACAAATACCACTTAGGTTATTTTAGGTTAGGTTATCTAGCACTGAAGATGTTACCTAGCCAGGTAATGAAACATTTGGAAGAAAAGAACCAAGCTCAGAGAACTCCAGGGACTCCACTTAGGTTATTTTCTGACACTTGAACGGTCTCAATTGTTTCTAAAGAATTCCATTACCATTTCATGGAATGGGGGAAAAAGTGAAACAACTGCTCAGATTTTGGCTCAGCAATGAACCGATGCATCTGGAAAAATCTAACATTCCTGTCCTGTTTATAGTTGATTTGTTAAGTTCCACTCACTGCAATATGCAAATACCTATATACTCTTCATGAACTCCTCAACCTGGTATACTTTTTAAAGCACAGAACTTGGACAGACCATATTTTTCTTATACAACTATCTCAAGGATCCGGGCCCCATGGACCACGGGAAGCCTTGCCACAGATCTCCTGCAATCTGATACCTATTCAAGGGATTCAGAGGGAAAAGATATTATAAACAATGGAGCTGAATAGCAAGAGAATGCAAAGAAGTGCAGGACGATTAAATTATACAAAGTAAGTACAGACACCCTTTAGAACAAAAGTAATTAGTGATAACAGCATCTTAGCACTAATTAGCTCCTCTAGTGGGATAGCTGCATATGAAAAACATGAACTGCAAACAGTTAAGCTCAGTAGTACATCGTGTCTTTTACACACCAAAAGTCCAAGGTTCAGCTGTTGTATCTGCAAGCAGGACTGAGAAAGATGGCCTTCTGAATTCTGCCAAGCTGCTATCAGCACACAAACATTCAGTACCAAACTAGCTGAACCAATGTTTCTGATCTTGGGTAAGGTTGCTTCTTAAATCCTGGTGACAGAATTTATATACACTTGAAGGGTGCCTCAACCATTCAACCCACCTGGCAAAAAATCTGAAATCACTATCAATGTCTCCAAAGTCAGGATAAGGAGCTGTTAGAATCCTATATTCAAAGCACTCAACACCATTTCAGGATTACTTTCCAGGGAGGTGTACTCAAAGGGTATGAAGTCCCTGTGTCTTCTAAGTTCGTCTTACTTTAGGTCAGTCCTTCCTGCCTTGTTTATAATATTAAACCCAACCAGAAGTAGAGACCACGTTCATATCGATTCATATAAATGGAACTTCACATTAGAGCTGCACTCTAAGCAAACTCCAAATTAGAAGGATTCTCGAGTACAATTTAACTAAAGCTCGATCTTACGCGTGCTTGGACCAAGTCCCACTATGCTATAACGGGGCTGACACCGACGCAACTGCAAGCAGCGAGTCAGGTGCATCTCCAGGATTGTGTGTGGAGAGACAGACAGGCCGAGGAGAGGAGAGGGAAGCGGGGGAGGAAACATGTTGCGATTCCGGGTGGGAAGAACAAACTTACGGCGCTGGCCCGAGCCTGGCACAACCACCGCGAGCAGACGACTCACTCCCAGGACCGGGCCGGGATGTCGTTGGCATCTGTGTAGGGAGACGAGCCCGACCGTTATGAAAGCCAAGAGTGGGATCCACATAATGCAAAGCAGGCGGCAGTTTTGCTGCCCTCGGAGGTCGAACATGGTCTCGGCGCAGAAGCTCGTCGCGGGGTCACCAACCCTGGAGAGGCAACGACGGAGGCGGCAGGGCGCTGAGCTACCACCCCCACCGAGACGCAGGTAGGAGGCAGCGGAGCCGGAGGGGCAGCGCGGCCGCATGTTAGGGCCAGCACGGCCATCCCTCGGCCGAGCGCGAAATCGCAGGGCCAGGGCGGCAGAAGCGGCGCCCTGCTTCTGCAGCGAAACTCTCCATCCGCTTCGGCGCCCTGCTTAACTTTCTTGAGTGCCGCCGCCGCCGCCGCCTGTAGAGCAGCTGTTCACAAAGCCTTTTGTCTGCCTGTTCTCCGGAGCCCGGTGCCCTGGCAACCCAAAGCAAGTTTGTAGCAGAGGAATCAGAAAGAAGAAAGGAAGGTGAGGAGCGAAAGCATATCTGCGCCAAGGGCTTTCGTCTCTGACCCCCGGCGGGTTGGGGAAGCTTTTGCAGAATGGCGCGGGAGCTTGGGCATCGGAGAGCTCGCTTGGTGCCGGTGGGGCTCCCCGCCCGGGCCGGTCTCTTCCCTTCCCTTCCCTTCCCTTCCCTTCGCTCGCAGCAGGTTAGAGCAAAACTGGAGACGTGAGGGAGGGGAGACGGGTGGGTGGAGAGCGGGGCGTGGACGCGTCTCCAGCCCGCTCTTTGTTTTGTCGCGGCGCTCAGGCTCTCGCTCCTGCCTCTATTGTTCCCTCCAGGGCTGCAAAGCCGCGAGCCGCTCTCTCCGCCCCTCCGCTCTGTCGCCGTTTGACAATCAACCCACGCGCTCTGCTCTTCGAGGTCGGAAGCAGCCCAAGGCCGCCTGTGTCCAGCGCGCTGACTTCATCCGAGAGAGTCACTTACCACGCCAGGAGAATGAAAGGAAAGCGTTTCAGTTTTCGAACGAAGGAACTCCCCCCGACTCCCCCGGGCATTCTGAATAGTAACGCAACAGCAGGCAGAAATTCAGAAAGCCCAGTTATACCAGTGTGGATGAAACCACACCTGTTGAATTCGTCCCTGTTCGGGTGGATTTCCCGGGACAGCCCTGCGGCCAAACCCGGGATTCCAACTAGTTCACAAGGAAAAAGAGCCCGGGCTTAACCTAACAGGGAAAGGCCTCCCATAATAGGGCTGTAGAGTTTGAATAGCATCTCGTTATTACTTGATTTTGTAATTCCAGGCAGAACCTTGACAGATTGTGAAGCTGGAGGTGGAGTAGGAAGGGCTGTGTTTGTTTCTTCTGCTTCTCAGTTCTGATCTCTGGAGTTAAGGTTGATTAAATATAATCAGTGCTAGGCGAGCCAACATGGCAGGATACCCATTCTCCATTATTGTATGAGTGGGAGGCATGAAAATTGCACTCTGTTAGTAATTTATTTGAAGTGATTGCTTCATGTTGCCTTAGGGTAAAGCAGGCCTGTATATTCTTACATCAGTCAGAAATCTGGCTTTGCTGCATTTATAAACAACACTGAGAAATAATTCCCACTGAGTATAGCGCGATTCACTTCCACTTACCTTAGTCTGGATTCAACACAGTGTATTTTGGATTAATTACACTGTATAAGTTAGTCAGATTTAAAAGCATAACTAAATCTAGCTCCAATTTATTCCTAGATTCCCACATCATATTAAGCCAGTTTGTTTTAACTGTGGTTTGTTGGTAAGTCAGTAGCCTGATTCAGGCATAACATCAAGCTATAAGTAATTAACTAGTGACATGGTTCACACTATGTTAAATGAAACAAACCAATTTAAATCTTAGTACAATGTGTGCATCCAGCCAGAATATTTTCTTTCAGCTGTTCCAGAACATCTACATTCCAGTATCTACTACGGTTCTGTGACTGACTTATTCCTAATAATTCTAGCTCAGGAGTAGGTCAGGGTTTCATATGGCCCCTGAATGTATTTTGGGTAGGTACCCAATTAGGTACCCACACCCACGAACACCAACTAGTGGTCAGAAGACATGATGAAAACTTAATCTCACCACACATGGATAGACTCAACCATAGTTTTGACTGGGAAACTCTGAGCATCCTAGGCCAAGCTAAATCCAAAAAGACTTGGGAATTCCTGGAAGCTTGGCATTCGGACAAATGCCATCAGTAGACACGTAGAGATAAACCACATTTACACACCATTCAAAAGAGAGAATAAAAAAGCTAGGAAGGAAACAAAAGGACCGGAACATATTCTCTCCAGCAGCCTACATCCAGATAAGCAGGGATTAACACCAGACAAATTGTGAAGCAGAAAACAATACCCTAATCAAGGAACTACCAAGGAGAAAACCATACCCTCACCAACACTGGCAGGGCAATCTATTGTATAAAAACAGGGAGCAAACCCCACACTCACCAGCACTGATGATGTTACTTAGTCTGGTAATGAAGTGTCTGTAAGCAAACAACCAAGTTCAGAGAGCACCAAGGACTCCGCACCCACATGTGTACCAAAACACATTCAGTGCCTTTTTGTACCACGCAGTAAGCCTTAAAATAATGATTTTAAAGCTTATGCTCTGAAACTTGCCCCCCACCCATCCTTTGAGGAGAAGCATCCAAAAAATCCTTTTCCATCAGCATGCATCATCGCATAAGGTTTGCCCCACTTACTTTAGTCTTCATCCCTCCAGGGGCAAATAGTATTTGGTTGCAAACCCTCAGCCAGCCAAAGATTGTCTGCCACTTATTTAGATCAAAATTAAGCCTCAGCTATATTAACTTCCTCCAGATCATCTAGTGATCTCTGCTTGAATAAGATTTATAATACTGGACTGCCTTCAAGACTGTATCCCATTCAAATATACCATACAGCTTAATATATAACAGGATACTGAAAACAATTGGTACTGTTATTCAGTTTATTAAGACCCCATAATTAGTGGGTCCTGATTTATATCAGGAAGCCACTATAGAGGATGTCAGATTGCTTGTCTAGCCCATTACTATTTACTTTGATTGTAGTTATTTTCTCCCAGCCCCTTATATCTAGCTGATTAGTGCATACAGCTTAACTCTGGGATTATCCACATGGGTTTAGCATTGAGCTATAATGGTTCTTCCCATAATTCCAAGTAGGACTAACTCTGTTCCACATGGGCTGCAATTGAGAGCTCATACAAAGTTTTCTTGGTGGTAGCATTAAGCCCACAGAACAATTAACTTGGAGTGGATTGAAAGACTCCATAAATGTTGGGAGACTTAACCTACATATAATTTCAGAGAAATACACAAAGAGATATAGATTATATAGACACTATTGCTAGATACTTCCAAAGTGAAGGAAGAGAACAAGGCTTTACAGAAAATAAAGGGCCATGCATTTTTCTCCCACTCAAGAGCGAGTCATAAATTTAATCCTTTCTGTCTTTCCTCATTCTAATCTTTTTAACAATTATAATCTATGGATGTCCTCATTCATATCACTCTGTTCATAATACTTTTGCTCCCATCTCCTGTATATCATTTAAAAAAATATTTCAGTAAGTTTTAATGGACTATTTTGGATTAAGAACAGAAATAAAGAAAAAAACTTGAATGGTTTTCTGCACTACAAGTTTACTATTTTCTCAATGCTTGATGAGCAAACAGCAATGAACAAAGGTTTCTTTTAACTGATGAATGAATGGAAAGTACCGTCTTTCAAATCAAGGAAACTCCCTCCTTTTCCCCCCAGGTATTTACTCCAATAACATGCTGGCTGGGCTCACATAACATGTAATAATAAGGCAGATTTTGTAAATCTGAATTACTTAATTCTATAGGCCATAATAGCCTGGTTCACATATAATGCTAAGCTAAAAACAAAACCAATTATAGCTTGTGAATTGGCCATTGATCTCTTAGCTTATGTACTGTACTATATCACATTTTGGTCTAGGGTAATTTTTTGGGGCTCTTGGAATATTTTCTGTCTAGTCACACATACTATTCAATCCATGTAATCTAAATTATACATACTTGAAATGGGTTCATACAACAAGCTGTGCCAAAATATGGTTTGGTTTGAGGCTTAATTATTGCAAACCATAATTAAGCATCATGGCTTACCATGTTGTGTGAATAGAGCTTCGATTCATAATTCATCCTCTCCTGCTTCAGTTTAATAAATTATACAGGAAGCAGAAACTAATACAAATCCAATACCTACAGTATAACAAAGTTATATTCTCCTAAAATGAGTATACACCATTTCAATTGTTTATTTTAGCAGCAAGTGCTTTGTCTATGACTAATTACAATCTATATTTAGTGTTAACTGCCTGGTAGCCTACTGTATTGGAAAGGCAAAAAAATAACAATACATAACTCCCAGTATATTTCAGGAGAAAACAATGTTCTTTCTTGGCACATGTATAGAGTGCATACATACAAAAATATCTCTTTAATTTCAAATGGGATAACTGCCAACTGGCCTCCCTTAAAAATATACTTAGCTATATTTGAATCTTACTGAAATGTCAGGGAGAGTTTTTATTTGTAACTAACTTGAATCTGACTAATTCCAGTAAGAAATAACCAGGCTACAATCCTAAACACAGAAATATGCTCTACCAGCCTTTGAATTTAATTGAAATCTACATTCGATCATTGCAGAATATCAGTTATCTGTTGTATTACTGCATTATAAATAATGCAACAAATGTTCTGAATTTAAACCCTTTTGGAAACAGTGTTAATTTAAGTGCCCACCCTACAAGTTCTTCTCACTGTATCTGTGTCAGTGTAATCCCCCCCCTTTTTTTTTGAAGTAAGCAAGAGTGTGTTGAAAAGTCCAAAATACAAAAATAACTCTTGAAATTATGGTATTACTTCATTTGATCACTTCAAAACTGAACCACACTTCAGATGGAGCCTTTTCTGTGAGCATCTCCCTTTACCCTACATACACATAAACTAAAATGACCTCTCCTGAATAGGTAGGTAGGTGTACTTTACCATTGTTCACTAGCAGTGGAGATGTATATTTACTTTTTGGAGTAAATCTCATTGTGTTTCAGTGGGGCTTATAGCCTAGTATGTGTTGTTTGGAGGTGCAGCTTTATTTGAAAAGAAATCTGTAGTCTTAATTTCAGACATATATCATAGTTGATCAGTTTTATTTTATTTATTTCTATGGCTGAAGAATGTACACAATCTCCATACTACTCCTAAGGAAAACTGAGTGTGAAGAATTCCTTTCTCTTAAAACATGTACACAACTGTCTGAATTAATATGGCACTAGAATATCATATTTTTGATCACAAACCAACAAAGAAGACTGAATTAACTGGCACATGAACTCTAGCTTTATTCTTGATTTACAGGCATTACTCTCATAAAATAAGTTCCCCAGATCAATGTTGTAGTGTCCTGATCTTGCAGATTTAGTCATCACAAAGAATTGCATGTCTGTCTCTCTCAGGTTCCTTAAAAAGATGCTCCCTATACCCTGGCAGATAATAGCAGGAGTGGACCTACTCTCTTCTTCCATATGATTGTTAACTATATAAATAACCAAAATAGCATGGTGATGCTGATGCAATATGTTAAGCCATGATTTACTAAATAAACCACAGTTGTCCGGATTTGAAGAATATGCTAAAATCATGCTTCACAGTTCATTCTTCAAATCCAGCTAACTGTAGTTTATTTACAAGCATCCCTAGTTGTAATTAATTTAATTTCCTACATTACAAGCAAGCAAAACATGTTT